AACTTAGGGTTATTCATAAAACATTTGCAGAACAGAATTTTCCCTATCCGTTAGTAAACCAAAACCAGGAGGCAGCTCGAAAGCCTTGGAATTTTAATAATAATAAACTGGGGGCTCTTGCTGTTTGCCTTCTGGTTTTTGAGCCTTCAAGTTCACGTCTTCTAGCTCTTCCCTTTGATCCTGCTATATCAAAGGAGAGCTGAGATTCTCATGTCTTGGAGTTGCTTCCAGGTGCTGTGTCAGCTTTGCAAAACACACCCAGCACTGTGAGATGCCCAGGAGTCTGACATGCAATAACAGAGTTATTTAGGGGGAGGGGGATTGAGCTGGTTTTCCAAAAAGTAGTCCAAAGTCATGCTATGAAAACGAGCATCCCACACACCCTGACATCTATGGATGGGCTGCACGTGCATTTCAACACTGATGCCTCAAAGAGGCAAGGAGACATGGTCAGCCAACAGCATGGAAGGAGCTGAAAGGAAGAGAGAGAAAAGGCAAAGGGGTGCCAGCGGAGGAGGAGTAACAGAAAACAAGCTGCAAATCAGCAAATAAGAGGACAGGGTGGGAAAGAGGGCTGGGATCTGAGAGAGAGGCAGGAATAGTGGAAAAGGGGTGAAAGAGGCATTTCAACTCAACCCCTTCAGAGACCTCTAGGGAGCTTGTAGGCTCACGGTTCTCATTTGGGAAGAGAAAGAGAGCAGAGAGAGGGTCTGAGGAGGAGAAGGAACTGGAGGAAGCACGTGCATGTGTGCTGGGGAGCAGAGGAAATGGAGAGAAATTGCACACATCCTTCCCCTGCTTGCCTTCTCCTCCAGTAGCATCTCCCCTCAACTTCCCATGCCCTTGGATCAGTGCGTGAGGTAGAGGGCTCTCAAGTCCTCCATGCGTCAGAAAGACAGAAAAAGTGCAAGCCACCAATGTGCCAATATCCCCGTGACCCCAAGGAAAACATCTTGATGCACTGAAACTGCTGATAAAAAACCTGCCAAATTGATGGTGGCAAGGAGGGGGAGATGCAGGGACAGATAAGTGAGGAGATGACAGCCTGGGGCAGCTGGCGATCTCCTGGCCACCGCTGCATGAGACCTCCTGCTCAGTGGGAGGCAGCCGTCCTACTCTTAACTCCCTCAGTGTCCTTTGTGAAGACTAGGACGAAATGGCAGCTCTCCTGATAAATCCTGACAGATCCAGTGCGTGCACCCATCCTTCCCTACTCTGTCAACAGAGACTTGAAACATACGTTCTTGCTGCTTTATTATACGCCCGCACCTTGGTGAAATAATGGGGCCTTTGTATACTGCGTCTCTTGGTCTTGGTGACAAATCTTTCCCTCTGCCTCGTTCAATCAATCTCCATATAAAATATGTATTTATATATAATGGAGCTCTTCTGCTAGTGAGAAGCTGCTACATCCTGTTCCTAAGAGCACCGCACATCTGATGGGGCTGACAAGTACTCCTTGTCATGTTTTGGTGTTCAGAGGAGCCGTGTGGAAGCCCTGGTATCAGCCATAGGCAGCAGGATGAGGTGCTCCCCTTTCCCCTTTGAGCCTCCACGGGGAGGGGGAGCATTGCACCCGCGGAGCACAGCTCAAGATGAAAGCTCCCGTTTCATCTTAAAACCCACAGGAGGAAAAACTTCCTTCATCAGGGACTAGGACCAGCCCTGGCCCCTGCCTGCCTCTGGAAAGGTCAGGGTGAGCCATCACCCCCCCGTCCCTCATCTCCACTTGTGATATTTACAGGAGGCATCATTAACCTTATTGTCCCTAGTGAAGGCAAATGCCCGCGCCCACTACCAGCCACCTCTCCTCTACTCAGTAAGGCCCTGCAAACGCTAATTCATCCTAGCACTTGAAGTGCATTATATCATGAGCACGCAGATAGCAGCCTTACTGCCACAACAGCAGTGCTGTCATTCGCCCTGCTTGCTACGCTGCAGATAAAATCAGAGACAGGCAAAGGCTTATGTCATGTTGAATGTTTCACAGATCAGATTTAAAATAATAACAGTCCCTGCCCTTTTCCACTAACCTCTCTCATATAGACACTCTTGGGCTTCAAAGATGGGGGCAGAGGATCTAATAAATCACAGCGGACTTGGGACTCCTGGCTTCCCTAACTAGCACCTCCAGAAAGGTGCTAGTAAGAAAACTGCTTCACCTTGTACTTCAGAACAGCCAACTGCAAAATGAGTCTGCCCTTGTAATGATCAGGAACAAGCCAGATATCAGCCAGAATATGTTCCTAGAAATTGCAGGGGTGGAGGGAATAAATTGCTACTTTTATTCAAAGTTTCTTTTTTTAGGGACTGGGAGGCAAGAAGTGAGTGGACAGTGTGACAGAGTAGCATACGTTAGTCTTGGAGAGAATCAAGAGTTGCTAAGTGTGTTAAAAGTCCACCTAGCCCAAGGGAGACAAATGACCTTCAGGCTTCTGGAAATCTGAGGGGCTGTATAGAGCCAGTGGTGATATCTGTGGAGACTTGTTGCTACGCTGCATAAAAAGGACATTCTGGGCAACTCTGAAGTCAACACACTGATTATTGACGTATTGTCACAGCGAAGGGCTTTAGCCGTTGGGGTACCCCACTCTGCTCAAAGAGGAGGAAGGACATGCAGAGTAAAGGGGTGAGAAAGAGGAGCAGCGTCTTGTCCAAGGACTCACAGCAGAGGTAGGAGCTCACAGTCATCACCTGCCTCCAAATTCCCACTCCAGCAGGACCATCCGCAGCGATGCCATAAAGCCACCACCTGCCCAGCACGAGACCTGCACACACCCTTCATCACTCTCAAAGGGTCAACTAGGCTCAGTCACTGTCCTCAGCTTTCGCCAGGCCCTATTAGAGAAGGGACCCACCGGTGGGTCCACCCATCGTTGGACAAGGGTGTCACTGCGACCTGTTCCATCTCAGCACTGGAGGTAACACCTCATCCTTGCCCAGCATGGAGCAGATGAGACAGCAATACCCGCCCTGTCACCACATCCTTTCTCCAGAGCTATCGCCATTTCGCAGCCTCTCTAACGTATGGAGCCGCTTCCCTCCCTGCCCTGTATCTGAGGTATAAATATTTATAGCTCAGGGAGAGGGCAGGGAACTCAGGAGACCTCACAGATATGCAAAACATTTTAAATAAAATGATTAAAGCAGAAGAAATGACAGTCATAAATAGCCTGGAAACTATAACTCCCCCATCCCTTTGCAGGGGGCAAAAGGGGAGTCAGTCAGTCACGTCTGAGCTCCTGCTCCTTCACAAGAGTTTGGGAAGGACCGCAGCAACCCTGCTAACTACCCAAAAACCAGATACATCCTTGCCTTACAGGCCAGGAAGAAATTCCTCCTAGCTAAGGTAAAGGCTAATAATTTCAATGTGAGCCACAGCTTGGAGATCAGTCACCTGAAGAAGATGTGAGGAGGGTCTATAAAATCGCAGTAGGTGAAGAGATGGTGATTATTCACTGTTACTTTGTATAATACAAGAATTAGTGAGCGAGCGCCATATGATACAGCCAGGCAGCAGGCTTCAAAAAAATGCTGTGCTTTTTCTCATATTGCCTAGTTAAACTGCAGAGGTCACTACATGGTGGAAAAGCCCAAAATAAGCTAATGGAAAACAAAAAAGCAGTTGGATACTCTTCTGAAACAGAAGGTCATTAGGTGCAATCTGTGGTTCAGTAAGTCTCTAAAGTGTGATACCAAAAGACAATCATCCGGGGCAGCAACACCCTACGTTTTCTTAATCTCTGCCCCTAGATATCCTCTAATGGTCCCTAGGAGAGACAGGATATTTAGGCATTTTATGACCCAGGATGATAAAGCTGCCATTGAGGTGGGAGAGAGGAAGGGACCGATCGGGTCATGTCCATGCCGGAGACTGCTGTTGCCACTGCAGCACAATGCTGGCGGAGAGTGGGAGCACAGCACACAAGCATAGGTGGGAGCTTGGTGTTAGGGAGCTGGGCAATGCTGGGAGGATGTCTCACTGCTCAGAAAGTGCGACTGGAGGGTGTCCTCCCAAGTAAGATCCTCCAGGCAGCTCGTCAAGGGAATAAAACACCAAGGTAATGTTTTATATTTGGTGCTACTTGCATGATCCGAGGGCAAGTAGGTAGTATTTTCTCAATTTCATCCAATCCATAGGTAACTATTTCATTCTTGGGGTGGCAGCTACAAGTTGAACTGAGATTGCACAGCAGGGTACCTGCCATCACACTACCACAGCCCCTCACCCATCCCTTTTGTCTGAGGATCCTAAAGCTCTTCACAAGCACACGTGAATCAACCAGCTACGGTACTTCAAGTCCCTGCGCATCCACAAACTAGTCACATAACAACGAATTTCTTCATGCAAAGCTAGCAGCATCTCCTCCTCCCACGTCAAGCAGTGAACTTTGTAAGGCCAAACACTTTGTTGAAAATCAGCCAGACTTCCATGCTGAGCACCCAGATTGGCCCTTCCTTGAAATCTGGCTGCTAATGTTTTCAATAATAATAGCAATAACACAACAGGAATTTCAGCCTAAACTTAGCTTGTACCCTGGCAAGCAATGTTCCATGCTCTAGATCACTGAGTCTCAGAGAGGTTTCAGCTTCTCCAAATACTCCAGTTGGAGCTGAATGATTCAGTGTTACACTTACCCACTCTATCCATATCTGTAGCAGATGCATCCACAGTTTGGATGGGGGTGGAGAGCAATGTGGTACGCAGCAGATGCAGCAGCAATTCCCTGTCACGTAGCCAGTGGTACGTGTACTGCATAAGGCAATACTGGAGGCGGTTTCTGCTCCCTTAGTTCTCTGCCCTGACCCCACTATAATCTGCATCAGTGTATAAATGTAATGGCATCTAAGCACAAAAATCCATGAGCTAATCAACAGAGCATAAGTATTTTTGGAGCAGTAGGTTGTTGCATTCACTCTCAGAATATCAGATGCAGTTGTGATCTCCATATTACGATGAAGCTAAAAGTTCTCAAAGCGTCACAGACAGCTTTTCTTACCTGCTTCTCAGACATGATGTACAGGTGTTCATGATCCACTGAAAAGGCCATATCCCGTAATATGGGGCCAGAATCCACCACCTGCACAATCTCATACTCCATTGTGTTCTTGGTGGGGCCATCCACACGGATCTGCAAAGCAAAAGCAGGAAAAGAACGTGAGTATTTTTTCTCCTTCCACAGAGACTATAGAATAATCACTGGAGAAACGCGTTATGGTCCATGTCTTTTGGACAGCAACCACTCTCATAATAAACTAAACTTGTTCCCTGCCTCCTTACTTAAAGGCTAAAGCAGGTTAACTGCTTCTGCTGGTGTCATCATCCCAAGGTAATTGCAGAAGAGCAATCCAGAGCCTGCTCACTTTTCTCCAATTCTATTGCAGTATTGTTATTGTTGTCTGGACAAAGAGCTGAAGATGATGGCCCAAAGGGCAGAATTTGAGGCGAGGATGAGCAAAAGAAAAAAAAACAAAAAACCACAGCAGTTTTCAGGATTGACTCACTCAAATGCTGATCAGAAACTATTATTGTTTTTATTACTAATATACCATGGGGTAATGTGTTACTGCAGAGTGTACAATACAAAAAAAGCTATTTCGCTTGTTGATTACGTATATCTGATATTGAAATCAGTCCCGAACAAATACGGCACATTATAATTCCAGCCACATCTCATAACAGGATGTCACTTAGGAACGTCAACAGCAAGAGTTATGAGAATGAACCAGATGCTTAGTGCTAGTTTCTTTCCTAACAGTGACCCAGTGCTACAGAAGAATGTTCACAAAACTCAGCAGGTTTCTTTACCTGTCTAAACCCAATTTCTAGAAATTGGGTTAAAACTCAGATGCAGGGGGTTTCTAATCCCTTTCAATAGTTTAATAACAACTTAGGATAATCCAGCCACCTACAGGAATGTCAGGTCCCTCTGTCAGCCGTACTAGGCTCTGTACTTCCGCAAACGCCATGGCCGTGTCTTCCACAGATGTAAACATATTGTTTATCTCTCTTGCTATCTTTTGAATGTATTGGTTTTTGGCTTTAGAAAATCTTCTGTCCTGCAGCAACCAACCACTAAAGTGCCCTTTCCTAGAAGAAGAAATCAAGTTATAGTGGATCTGCCTTCTTCTCCACATTCTTGGTCTCCATGTCTTCTTGACTAAAGCAGACCAAAGGCTCCCAGTCCCTGGTTTGCACTCGCATAGTTTTATAGATGAGCAAGCATCTTTCCCGCTCAAAGGGAAAATAATAAGCCACAGAGAAATAATAGTACCAAGATCCATTCCTACTGTTCCCTGGCATATAGTCCATGAGTTTGTTCCTTCTGTATCAACCTTTCAGCCAAGAAACTGAGATTGAATCATCCTCTATATTACAATGTCAAAGAGAAAGGGAGAAAAGCAAAAGGGAGAGAATTTCAAAGGGTCTGGGAAGCTGAACAAAGGGCAGCAATGATATACAGATCCTCATCATTCCCCTTCCCCTGCTCTTCCCTTGCACAGAATGGTAATAAAGAGCCCTTATTCCCCTACACAGATAGGGGACATGAGGCAAAGAAGAGTGAGCGGGACACTCTGTGACAGTAAGGGGGGGGGGGGTGGATGGGGCTCAAGGATGCTCTATCTGTGCCATCCATCAGATTTTTCCTCATCTGGAGGAAATGGGCACAAGTACAGGCATTGACTGTTGGGATGGTTGAAGGCAGATGGAATATTTGCAGTTAGTTTGTCATCTTGATGTATCTGATGATGACAGAGGCATACTCAGCAATGTCCAACAGAAGGTCGGAGCTCACAGTCCAACACCATGCAGCCGTTCCTACGTGCATCTGTTCCTCCTGTCCACTGTGACTGCCTGGGAGGAAAAGACTGAGTCTCGTCCACAGATCCTACTGGATCACTGAAGCTCATCACAGTGTCTCTGCTTGAAAGTGGTCACTGGTATGACTCATTCAGGAGGACAAGGACATAGAGGCTGATGGGCTCAGGGTGAGGCCTTCTCCTTAGGAGAGTCAAGAGAAAGGAAGGAGACACAAAGATGACCTCCGGTTGGGAAGCACGGGAACCTGCCTTTTGGGGCTCTGCCCAGGACAGCTCAAATGCTCCCAGGCAGAAGCCTTTCATATTTCCCCATGGAGACTTTTCTGCACCAAATTCTCACTGTCAGGGAGCACTTGCTGAACTTTGTCTGCTGTTTTAGCTTTGCCCTCCTTGCCAGTCCCTTGTGACTGCTTATCCCTGTCGGAGGGACGCAGAAGATCCTTGCTCTCTCTGCTGATCACCGTGCTAAACAAACCTTATGTCTTAGCTGCTTTGACCTTGATTTTTCAGCCTCATCAGGGTCAGATCTGCAGGCCTCTAGATAAGTAAGCAGCCAATTATCACCCCAGGCTCAGGTACTGTCCTCAGCTTTTGCTTTTACCAGGCCCCATTAGAGAAGGAGCTCAAAGATGGAAGAGGCAGGCTGAAGAAATAGCTGGCTGGGGTTAACAATCCGTGCAGACAGGAGGCACAGCCCCGAGGGATCTCCCCTATGTGTTTTGTGCAGGTAAAAGATTGCAGAGGTTTCACACCAGGAAAACAGAGATACTTGGAAGTGATTTAACAGCAATTGCTAACCTAATTGCCTGCAAAATCATTATTTTGCAGAGGAGGAGGGAGGGAGGGAGGAACAGCGCTTATTCTGTTGTACATGTGCAAAGGCACACATGCACAGACGCACTCATGCTCACACACCCACCCGCAACAACCTTAAGGGCAGAAAGCTCTTTCTTTAGTTAAAGCTAGGAACTAAGGAGTTTAGAGAAGAAAATTCAGAAGAAGGCCAGAAAGTCTGGCAGATATTCATCCACTGCTGCGCAGACCGTGCAAGGCCCGTGCCAGCGAAGAGGCGGTTATAATAGCCTGCAGCGAGGAGTCTGGCCCTTAACTCAAGCCATCCCATATCCTGTTTTAAACTCTGGGCTCCTTATGTTCGGTCGCAGACAGTGAGTCCGGAGGATCTCCACCTTCCCTGCACATTAGTCTCAGTTCTCAGCACCAAACAACACAACAGCAGTCTCTCTTAGAGCTAGTTTTATTCTGGCTCCCAGACATCAACTACAGCCGGGTGATATGGGTTTGCAAAAAAAATCAGAGAAGCGCCCATGAAGTGGAAATGAGAAGATGCTCATCAAAGTATGAAAGCGATCATCACTAGACTCAGGGACACAGACACAATCTCTAGCTAGAAAGCTCCCCAGACTGTAGATTGCTGGCAACGTGAAGCACGCGCCAGCAGTTTGCTCTCTTTCTACACTCCTTTGGTATCAGCCACCTATGGGGCTGGGATACTGGGCTAAATCACGTTTTCTGCTGACTGAAGCATGATTATTCTTATACGCAGATGTGCTTTTTTGGCTGTGGGATTATAGCCATACTGAAAGTCCAGCAGGGATTGCCTCTTGCATCTGCCATGTGCAAGACAGGAACAGGAGGAAAAGGAAGGACGGGGACATCACACAGGTCTCCAAAAGCTCAGCCCATCACAGCCATCATTCACAGATCTCCACTAGCACTTCTCACCTTCACCACAGAGATGCCTTTTCCCAGTGCCTACACATCTCATGGACCAACATTCGCTCTTTGGCCCATGGCAAACCCAGCCTACTGCCCTCCTCAGCACCTAAGTCCCCCTCTGTCCTCCTCAGCAGATCCACCCTTCCGTATAACATGCTCTGTCCCACCCGACACTGTCGTCGTGCCTGCCGTCACCACACACATCCCGCGGACCGGCAGACAGCGCCTTTTTACCTAACACCCTGATAAATGTCACGGCCCCACAGCCGACGTGTGCAGAGCACCCACAACCCGGGGCCGCTTCCCTCAGACCGGCATGGCCACTTCAATGCCTTAACAACATTAATGCTGCTTTCCGGATGGCTGTAGTCACTCGGCTTCGTTCTGCAAAGCCAGCTGCTATTAAAACATCAGCATGATGCTTCCCGAAGGTCAACTACCAAGGGACCTATTCTGGCAGCTGCTTGTTTGTTTGTCTGAACATTATCTAGGTCTGGCTGTTTATTTACATCCATTGAAGTATCAGACAATAAATATCCTCTCCCAGTAGCAAACAGATGCTTGCACTCGAATGTTCTGGCTAGCGCTTGCTTCAAAACGATCTCCTTAATGAGCAAACAACGCTATTAATCTTTAAAGACACAGGCTCTGGCCTACCCTGAGCTCCTACCCTGGCCATGGCTAGCCCTACAGGCATCCTGGCAAGGAGCCCACGGGTCTGGTAGATGAAAGAAATTAAAAGATACTTTCCATCATTCGATTGGTGCTTGTCAGCACTATCTGGGACTCCCCAGCTGCTTTGGGGTCCACAGCAGGGTAATATCAACCACAGTTTGCTGGGCAAACTGGTGGCTGATGCCTCAGTCAGGCTTCTAAGGGTGAAAAGGGCTTTAGAGGTTGACATCGCATGCACCAAGGGTGCAGTGAGTCCCTTCAAGACACAGGTGTGACCTCAAACGGGTCAAAGAAAGGGAGCGGTGTGGGAGGATAAAGAAAGAAGTGGCACTAACAAGCACTTAGTCCAGTTTTTGGAAGACAAACCAGGGTTATGCCAAAAAAACAAACACGTCTAAGCTCCCCAGAGCAACTCAGTCAGTGCCTTCCAGACTGGAGCATATGGCCCTGTCCAGTGATCTGATAGCATAGCTCTGCTACTATGTTATTCCTCCACTAAGTTGGGTGGGGACGGTCTCTTTTGGAAAGCTTCGTTTCACAGATGGGGAAGCTGGGTGAGAAAGAAGTGAAGTGACCTATTATGCCAATAGCAGAACTGGAAAGGTCTCCCTACTCGTAAGTCTACATCAGCAAGTAGCACGATGCAATAGGGGTTGATCTGTAGAGGGATACAGTTTGCATTAAATCCCAGCAACCACACTACACGTGTTTTGGAGGCTTTACTTCAGAACCACCATAGCCAGGTCCCATAGATCGAATTAGTGGTTGGAGCATGTTAGCATCTTCCGGCTTAGTTTCATCCTAGAAAAATCAAGCTCATAAACTTTAGGACTGCCCTCCTATATGCATCACACAAAATTAAGCGCAAACAACTGTGAGACTCACTTCAGAAGCCGTA